TGTTCAGCACCATGACAGTCCTTGCTCAAAGTTAACCAAAAACTGAACCCCACTAGCCAGGAGCAAGACAGAGCTGTACCACTGCCCTTCTTAAAACCAGTAGTCAAGTTCGTCTTTTTTTGCCGGAAAATTTGGTATTCTTCGGAGTCTGCTTGGCGTGTGCCTCGTATGTATTTTAATCCCCTCCCTTCCTCTTTCTCTCCCCAGCCCTGCACACCAGCTCACCCTCAGGCTGTCAGCATCTCCAGTACAGCACCCCCAGGGTTTCTGAGGGGTTGTCAGGAGCAGTGAGTGGCAAAACCTGGGGAACCTGGGTTGTGACGGATGTCTGCAGTGTCTGCCAGCAGCGGCTGCTGTAGGTAACCCAGGGCACTGATATTTGTGCCACTTAAGAGTTGATTTCCTAGGTGTGGCTGTTTAGAGCCCGGTCCTCCCTCTAAGTTAGATATTCTACAACACAACAGACTTCAGCAACTTCATTGCTATATATAAAGTTTTTTCCTCAAACCTTTTTCGAACTAAGTCCTGTCTCCTCCCCAGGAAGCATCTGCTTCCCATTGCCAAATTCTTCTGCGTTCCTGTCCCCTTGGTTGTGTTTTCTCTGAATCCTTTAAAAAATGTGCATTTTGGCTGTGCGGTCATGCCAAGGAGTGTGAGAGTTTGCACATTTCGAGCAGGGATTGGCCCGTCTCGAATTGGTGCATCCAGAGAACCTGTCACAAGTTCCTTGAAGCACTTCTGCCTTCTGTTGTGCTGGCACCGAGCTGACGGGCGCTCATTTTGCATGTCTCGGCTCTGCGCTTGGCTGCTGAGGATATTTGCAAGGCTGGATATTTCTGGTTCTACTCCACAGAAGCCTTAAATGGAGTATTTGCTGTGCCCTGCCTTACAAAAAGAAGCCTAGTAATAAAAGTTTGAAGGCTCCTGTTCAAAACCCTTATGTCAGACCTGCCTGGGTGGTGGTACGTCTCTGTTTGCTGAAGGAGTTTCTGAATTCCTTGGCTGTCACCACGCTCACTTAGCTCCCCTGCAGCTCTCCTTGCTTTGCCTTACCAATGGGTTTCATAGGGCTTATTAGTGCCATTTCTCCCTATATACTGTTCAAGACATTTTTCATGTGCAGATTCAAAGATTTGGAAGTGTCTTTCAAGGGATTTCAGGCTGTCTGCAGTTCTGCAGGGCTGTGCTGGTGCTGCTCCCTATGCCCTGAACCTCTCCACAGGGCCAAGAGCACAAAGCAGGTTAGAAGCACAGAGAGTGAGCAGGTCCCTCTCTATGAAGTGATGTCTTTGGAGCCTTGATAGCTCCATTTCTGCTCAGGCTCTGGGGACTTTTCCGTCAGGTGGTGGCAGAAGGAGCCCACGCTGACCGATGAGCAAACACCAGCAGCTGCAGATCGCTATCATGCAGAGCAAGCCACATCCCTTGAGGTTACCAAACTAGAAGTGACAGCATATGGATGCAGGTCTATCACCTGTCTCATCTGTCAGTGGTGACTTAATTATCTGGCACCTGGGCTCCTCTCGTTGCCCAAACAGAAATAGGAGGAAGGAATGACTGATTTAAAACCTCCTCTCTCCAAGTAGATGTTGATCTGGTGTTGCCAGATAATTTTAATGGTGTCTTCTGACCTTAAGAGGGATGAATCTAAGTTAAATATCAGGCATTTGGATCTCAGCAAAGTCCAGATTTCCAAGATGAAGAAATACAAATAGTTAGAAAGGCGATGCTGTGCCTTCTCTGGATGGCTGAACAAGTGCCATTAGCGCTTGAGCGTATTCCCAACTAGATATAAAAGGAATCAGGAGTGTTAAGGAAAAACAGAGTAAAGTGAATGCCTATTACAGCTGTCGCAATAGGAAAGTTGCAACATTTGCTTGTAGGAAAAGATGCAGAAGCACACAGAGTACCTGTTAGTGAGAGCGAAGCCAGACTTGGGCAGGATTTCAAGTGTTGCAGACACAATCCTGAAGGCTATATACAGAGCAGCGTGACTTTTCCATGATGTTGGTTAAGAAGACATGCCATTGCAAATTTTTTTTTTTAAAGGCTTCTTAAATTTTCTTGGGTCTTTATGGAGTAGACACCTCTTAGGAGTGTTGAGTGCGCCAAGGGATTGGACCTAGGAAACAAGAGTCCTTGGCTGCATTATAAACACGTCTCATCCCTGGGGTCCCCTTGATACAGGTCAGATTCCTAGCTGAGGATATAAAGTTCTCCAGGGAGAAATCCACCCTTGGTCCCTTAGTCCTGATTTCTTGTTTGCAGACTGTACAGTCTTACATTTCTCCCTTTCTGTCTTTAAAATTAGGAGCTCCTCTGGGTCAGACGTAGTCTCCTCCCATGCCTATAAAACACTGGTCTTGACACAGCTGTTACACACAAAGCTAGGGGTTTTTATTCCACCAGGGATTCTGAAGTTTGGCGAAAAAATACTGCTTGAGATAGACATTAGAAATTGAAAGAGCTCGTATAGAAGGATGGTCAGAGAAAACTCATTCCGGAAAAAAAGGAAGGTTTCTATTCTAGTTTTTATTTTACATTTGAATGCAATGGCACAGATGGTTGACCTGAATCCCAAGGACTTCCAGGCTCCCAGGAAAGTGACTGGGTTCTTGTTTCCGTGGGCTGCCAAAGCCGTGCAGCGCTTTCCAGGGAAACATTCGGTTCCCAACACTTCCTTGCCTGTGATGCTGTAAGGTCAGTTTAAGCAAATGATCGTTCTGTCATGACCAACCATTTTATTGGAAAATTTCTGCTCTACTTTAGCTCTGATAATTATACAGCTTCTAAAAGTATTAACAAATAATGCTGATCTGGCTTTGTCTTATGAAGGTTTTTATCACAATTAATCTTTGCCCGCTCTCCATCATTTCTTGCTTCTTGGAACACAGAGGCATTGCTATAAATAGTCTTGAGTATAAATATGGATTTCTACGTACACACACACTCAAGTGCACAAATTGATATTTTATCATATCATACTGTACTGTGTCATATAACTTAATATAGTATTGCATATCTGCAATGAGAAGACACATTTTTCTGGCCTGATTAGTCAGTCAAAGTGAAGCATCAAAGGTTAATTTCTCTCTGTCTGAAATGTGCACAAAGTTAGATCTAGCTTTATTGTGCCACGATAAACTTTGCGTAGTATATCTTGCATAAAGGTAAAATACATTTTCCATGACTTAAACCTTTGTGGATCGGTGCTGTGCTAAGGGCAATTAGATTTAACATCCCTGGAAGCTCCAAAGGCATTTTAAAGGACTCGCTCTTTTGTTCCAGCTCTAGTGCTCAGAGAGACTGAGACATTTTTGGAATGGGTTTTGATGGACTTATATGAAAATTTATATGACTAAGAATTGGATTTGTTCCTCTGGAATATTATGGATTATTTTTATGTTGGAATTACATAAGTGTGCAGAGCTGCATGCAGTTGGCTTAACGTAGCTAAAAATATATCTTTTGATTTCCATTTGGAAAGGTAGCTGGATTTTTCCAGCTTCCCCTCTCAGTGATGACTTTATGGTGTGTATGGGTTACAAAATATAGGAAACTCTGAAATGCGTAGTAAAATCAAGGGATTGAAAATGGATCAATATTTGATTATATATTTGAGAAGGCGAATGTTGATGCATGTCCTTTTCCACTCCTGATTTTGAACAGCATTGAAATCCCTTACAAATGAGACTTATTTCAGAGAGTCCACCTGGATGTAAATGAGGAAAGGAGTGGGCAGTGGTGTGGAAGCAGAAAGCTCCAGCAGCTGGGGCAAAGGCCCACCTGTGCTTGTCCTCCTTGCGCTCTGCAGCTCACTTGCCTCTGATGCAGTAGAAGCCACAAAGATGACTTGGAAAGAAACCTGCTCCAGGGAGCAGTTGGAGAGCACAACCTGTAACAACTGTTATCAGTGACCTTACCAAAAGAAATGCCATCTCTCTCTGCTTCTTAATTCTTTACCTGTCACTGTCTGTATACAGTAAAGTCTGCTGGACACTGTACTAGCCAAAATCATTATTTGGAGAGAGATTTTTCCAGCTACATTTTTTAAGGAAAATTCTCTTGAAATCCAGGGCAAGCTCTTCTATTCCAAAAGAGAACAGATCAGAAAACCTGGGCCTTTCATTTTAAATGGTTGTCTCTGTTATTGAATACCAACTTTCAGCACATTTTCTTTGTCCTCAAAGACGTAGTACAACATCCCCAAAGTTTTTAGGATCTGAAACAGGGGGTCTGTGGGCAGCTCTGCTGTTTCCTGAGCAGGCGCGTCTGTGTGTGCAGTGACTGTACCAAGCAGTAAGGCGTATTGACACTTTGAGGAAATGAACGATACAAATACACCGAAATAAAGATGAAGAAAGGTCTTCCTGTATATTAGTTTCACACTTGTTATTTAGCTAGAACAAGTACAGCATAAAACTGAGGAGCTGGCAGGATGCTTCTATCAGGTTTTTGAATGTTGTGTAAGCCACCACATTTTACAGCATAAAGCAGAAACTCTACTTTGTTCTGCTGCTTCTTTCCCTATCCTGTGTGTTTTCTAAAATGGACATGTCACTTTGGCTGTATAATCTTATCATATTTAGATTTGATTTAAATCCTGTCTTTTCTCAGCTGTGCTTGCTAATGGAATCACTCATGCTTTTTATACAGTTGATCTAATAATATTTTCTTCACTGCTCTCTGGCATTATTTTCTACTTCATAGAAATCATGGCAAAACTGGCAATATAAATTGAGTCTGCATCTTAATGATATTGATGGTGATTTTCCTGTGCACTTGTACAAGGTATAGTTTTTTTTTTCTTTCTCTTTTACCGTGGTCATTTTAATATACTTTGGCACGAGGACATGACTGACTGTTTCAGTTGCAAGGTTCTCTGACAAGGAAGCAGGCTTCTCCAATATTACTTTGTCACTTAAACTGCTTTGCTCAGGCAGGCCATCAACAGAGTGTCTATGAGAGATATGTTATTTTATTTATTTTATTTTATTCAGGATACTCGTGTGGCCTGTGAACTGGTTAGAAGTCTACAGTCTTCTGAAATCCAAGGTGTGTGGTGGCTCTCCACAGGAAAGCCCTACAAAATGGTAACTGTGGCTTTCAACATTTTCTGCCTTTCAACATTTTCTCGGATTTCGGATGGGGATTCCTGAATAAATACTTTATATTTAGTGCTGATAGTTTTCTCTTAGCTCTCTTCCACACCTAAAAAGGGGACAAATTATATCCTGACAGCCACTTCCTCTGCTTCGCTTCCTGCTCCTGCACCCTCCATGGTGACATGGCAGGGGCGGGAGTGAGAGGTATGCTGGGTATGACCCTTAAAGGCGACTTTTCTCCTGGTTTTAAGGGGAATCTGAGGTGCCAGCGGGTACCTCAGGGGAGCAAGGCCTTTTATGGAGGCAGTAGGTGCAGTTCAACATTGCTCTTTCTGTTGTGCCTCAGCTCTGACCATGGAAGAGCTAGCACTTGGGACAGAAAGTACTGCGTTTATGTTCAGGCCTTGGCATTTTTCCTAAGGGTACCAATTATAATGGTGTTTTTTGTGCGATGGGCACACATCCATTATGAGTTGGCTTGCACCCACCAACTCATTTCGCACAGGCCACAGAACACACATCAGATGGTGACGATTCCTGTTCGCGTGCAACGCGAAGGAAATCTAGATTGTTACCGGCAGAATATTGAATTCCGTATAATCTGCTCTGCAATTATATGAGGTATGCAAAGAGAAAGTACAGTTTTTCAATAACCTGCCTTCCTTTTTTCATATTTTTAACCACAGGAATGATAGACTATTAATCATGATTAATACTCAGTTACTGTGAGTTATGGTAGAGCAGTGCCTGGTGGTCCCAGTCTGTGTGGTAACCTGATTTTCTTGCATAATGGGAAACTTACCTTGCATTTAAGAGAGTTAAAATACAGCTTGACATAGGTGAAAATTACAGCAGTGCAAAAGGCAGATTGGAACCACCCATTTCATGTAATTAAAAGATAAATTTAATAGTTACACATTCTTAGTCAAACAGTATTGAAAGTTTTCAATATATACAGGCATAACAATAGATGAAATATGATTGCAGGCATCTTACTTGCTCCCATATTTTGCTTTCTTCCTGAGAAACAACGTTTTCTAGAGCTCTGCTGTAGCATGCAGCCTGAATCTCCTAAGCAGCGCTGAAGGTAAGGCAAGAGTCATTGTTGTCTTGATATTTGGAAGAGGTTGATTATTCTGGTTGTGACTGCTGAAGAGAATATGAATGATCAAAATGCTCTAGGAAGTAGAGGAAAGTCAAAAGAGATAACATGATCTGCTCCGTTCCTTTATTCGGAGAACTACGCAGGCTAATCTTTGTTTACCCCATATCTAAGGGACTCCTACTGCGCATGGAGAGTAAGGCACCAGAACTACAAGTGGAAGGGCTCATGTTCAGTTGGAGAATTTCATTTCCTTTAAGACAACTTCTCTTTTACCTTTGAGAAGCACCCTGACGCCTTTTGATCGGGTCCTCTGTGTGCTGGGTGCAGTACAACATTTAGCAAATGACAATTTCTGCTGTAAAGAATTTGCATCCAAATCAGTATTGTGTCCTGTGAGCACACAGAAAAGAGATAGACGTTTTCCTTTAAAGGATGAGATCAGTGAGACGTTTCCACGAGGAGATCCTTAGAGAGCATCCTATGGTCCCTTCCTGTAGAAGGTAGCAATATAGCTCCTCGTTATTATCTCCGTCTCTCTCTTCCCCCAACCAATCTGTCAGCTCATTTATGGTGCTGAGGAGAGGCGTCGTGTCGGAGCGATGTTCCCGTTTGCAAAATGGTAACGTTTATTTGTTGTTCTGAGGAGCCGGTTTCACACACTGCAGAGCTGACATCTCTCTGGGAGCACAGCTGAGTCCAACATGTTCAGAACAGCCATCCACCGAACGCCTCCTACTCGCATGCTCAGGCCTTTCTCCACAGTAAATAAAAAATGCAGAGAGCGCCTTGAATTGTTCCTTGATATTGATATTTCTGTTTAACTGGAATGTCTACCCATGTTCTTATCTGATAAATGGGTATTTCTCTGGCTGAGGAAGTCAGTTTAATATAGGAATAGGGTGGCTCTCCAAACAGGAAATCCAGTTTCTGGAATGCTTAATGGAAAAAAAATCTGACTTTCAATCAGTGTATTGAGTGGTCCCTGTGTCATGAAAGTATAACAGTACAATTAGCAGTTTTACAGAAAACAAAGTCGTCATGAGCAGCTGCTTCTCCTCTGCTACATGAAATAAGGTATGAAAACCATTAAATATGGAAAAAAAGTATTAACACATTTTTCAAGATTTTGTTGCTTATACAGAAGGCCACTGAAAATCTACTTCCTAAAACAGGAAACTGAGCAATGTGTCTTTGTATACTTTAGTCAAGAAGATATTGCTGCACTGTTTAAAACACCCCTATTCATGACATCAGCAGTTTTTAATATTTTTCACAGTGTAATTCAATTCATATTGTTCGGATATCCTGTCTAGCCATGGCTATGGTCATGTCCATTGTAAATCTGTCTTTGACCTTACCCATGCCCTATAATAGACATGACCTCAGTTTGCCAACCAATGGATTACAACATGAAGTTTTTTTTGATAATGATTACTCTGAAAACAGTTGAAGAGAACTGGTTTCCTCTCAGGCTCCTTCCAGCTCTTGCACGTATGAAATCCCACTGTTTTGGATGGCAGCATCAGCAGCAAGTATTGTGTGCATCACTGATGTGTGTATTGGTACTCCTCTCAGAAATGATATGTGGGGCAAGATTTCTCCTTTTCTGACTCTTAACTGGTTTTGGTCAGTGTCTGTAGTCACACGTGTCTGCTTGCCAACTTGTCGAAGATGACCTGTGGCAGCAAGATGTGGACTGATCCAAGCCTGTGGCCAACTCCCAGTATGTTGCCCTGACAGTTTAGTCATGGTATGGCCAGGTTTAAGATCAAAAACACGTGGGAGAATACAAACTGAAGCGTTAAAAATCAGCATTGCTCAGCCCAGGGTGCACAAATTCAGAGCCTCGCAGATGGTGGTGGTGAGCACTTTCTGTGTTTGGGTCCCACCGCATCTGGCAGGCTGGCACAGGTACGACAATTAAGCACTAATGACTTTGTTCCTTCAGGTGACTGCAACTCACAAAGGATGTTGCCATTAGAAGAAGCAAAGCTATCCTACTCCCCATCAATATCCTGGAAGGAGTACAGAAACAAGGTATGCTGGGCTGTTTGCTGCGCTTCTAAGGTTCATTGTCCTCAAAGCCACCTCATTTTTTATTTATTATAAAAAAAAAAAGGCGTTTAATCTGCTAAGAGGTCACTAAGCTTTGTAAGATATCTGACAAAGATCGTTAGCGTTTCTACCTCCTTCTTACTTCCAATTTTCTGAAAGCATGAATTTCCAGAAGGGGGTGGGAGGATGGAAATTCACATGAGTCTTTGTTTCCATTCATTAAATATTTGTGTGTCAGGACTAGAGATTTGAGACTCGGATTATTAAACAAGTGGCTTCAATGATTTCAGCAAAGCTGAGTGTCCTGGCATCTTGTCCAGGATTCTTGTTTGGGATTCCCCAGGCAATTCTGCATTGAGATCAGTGGGGTTTTAGGGAGAACTTTTAGTGACTATACAAAGCAAACATGGTCTTTGGTGTTAGTCTATAAATATCTAATGTGAGCAAGCAACTCTGTATTTTCCTCTGTGCTTAATGCAATCGTTCTGCACCCTGAGGCGGCTGAATTTACATGCTTTTGTTGTCATATGTGTAATGTGCAATATGTATTTCCTTTTTATTAATCAGACCTGCCATCAGAAAAGAGATAGAGAGAGTTTGAAAGCACAACCAGGATAGATACTGTCATTTTGTAATCTTTTGTGCGCAGGTGGAGATGCCTGTTTCCACTAGAGTAGATGGCAATATTCTGCTGCTTGCAGAATTCTTACAGATGAAAATCAGGCAAAGGAGTTACTGGCTATCCATAGGGTAATTCTCCTCTGAAAGTGTGCAGTCAATTCCCATTTAGGCTAATTACACTTAAGGAGCCCTTTCCTATAACTAATGAACAATAGGCATAACCTGTTATTACATAACCATAGGCACGCACATTAATACGCTGTCGAATTGCACTACCCTGTTAAAATGCCTCCTCTACAAAATTCACTGGAGATTTTTAGAGACATTTGCTGTAATTACAGCTAGCATGGTTTCTAATTCATTTAATTTTCTTTTCTACCTAAACTGAGCATATAAGTGTGTTTTAAGAGATTGAATAAATAAATTTTTAATTATAAAATGATGCTGTATCATACATTATTAATAATAACCAACAATGTGTAATACATGTTTATGTATGAATCCATTAGGAAGATGAACTAGTATATATCAGTCCTAAAAGAATGTCCTAATTTGTCCTGTGTTTGTGAATGGGGAAAATCCATGTTTAAAGCAATTAAGGGTTTATAAAAGCATTGCATTGAAAGTGGATAAAGCATTGAGTACGCTTGGCACTTAGGAATTCTCTTGTTGTCTATGGCAAAGGAGAAGACCCTTTTTTGCCCTTTATTATTGTACAATCAGTATGGTACAGATATACAGACCTCCAGGGTGGGAGCAGCATGATGCACATAGTCCTGGTTGGCAAAAACTCTGGTTATTTTTGTTATTAATAAATAATAATAATAAAAAAATCTCCTTTGTACTCTGCCATTTTCCTTCCAGGCAATTTTCAGGAATTGTGTCTAATATTTTCCTATTAGCGATAGCAAACTTCAGAAATCTCCATGGCAAGTTCCAGGCATTCACCAGTCTCATGGCAGGACTCAAAAAGGCTGCAATCAATGTCACAGTCACAGTTGCAGTCGTTGTTGGAGTGGTCTTCATTGGAAGTCTGGTAGTATCTATTGGATGGACAACAGGTATCTGTCAGCCAATGTTCACAGGTATCAGGCAGCATTATAAGAAAGTCCCAAAACTGGCAGAACAAGCAGGCCAGGATAAGTGTTGCGCATTCATCTAAGAAAAAGGAAAAGCAGCAAGACATAAGAAAAAGGGCCTGCTTGATTACCCACGTTTAGGCTACTGTGACTACGCAGAAATGAGATAAATGCTTTCATTCGATTCTATGGAAGTATTTCTTACGTTGTTTGTCCTGGGGGAAAAAATAAAGTGACATGAAAATAGTAAAATAATCTGGGTGAAAATGTTCTGGGGAGGTGAAGTGCAGAGGAGCAAGTGTTCTTGAACTGCTTGGGCAATGAGACAAAAGTTTGGAAAATAGTATCAGCGAGGACGTCTGTGTGGAGACAGTGAGTATTCCCCAAACTCTGGCTGCCTATGGCAAAAACTTTCTGTTCTGTTCTATTCATTCCCCTCGAAAATCAATTAATTACTACCCACAGTTCAAACAACAGCATCTGGGGAATGCGCCTCGGAGTGCAGCAGGGCTCTGAGCAGGTGTGAGATTCTGACTGTGTGAATCTCGTTGGAGCGCAAAGACCCAAACCTTTCAAATTTTTTTCCCTCCTTGTTTTTTGGAAAAGAAAAATGCCTTCAACAATATGAATGTCTTTTCATTGGTTCTTTCAGGAAAGCATATGGTTATAACCGCATTCCTTGCCCTAGAATGACTAACTGTGAACTCATTCAACTGCATTGGTTCTGTTGTGGCATTTTCTGTCTCACGTAACATAAAGTTCACTGCCAGGAAGTTTCCAGAATTACGCTTTTTTTTTTCTTTCTTTTTGAAGAAAGCTTTCTTGATAAAAAAACAAAATTAAGAAATCATGCCAACATCTTTATATTTATATACATGTATATATAAAGCAGCTATAGCAGGTAGCAAGAATGAATAACGTGATTGAACTTCTTTCTAAGTAGCATATCATCACCAATGTTATCAATTTTAATACTTATTTAAATATGTCAAGATCTATTTGAGTTCAGACAAGCACAACTAACTTCTAAGTCAGTTCTGTTGAATAAGAATGACTGGATTTTGGTGATACTTAGTAAATTCATGCTTATATTTTTTTCTAAGTAAATGAACTGAAATAATTATAAAATTGAAACATTTTATAAGGTGACACTGCTGCATTTAATTGTATGAAATTTACAGTGTAGAAAATGTAATCATTTTATCCAGTAGTCCATGGTGTAATTAAGACTATTCTTCTTAAGTATCTTATGTTTATGAAATTTCCTTCCTATACCTTTCCATTTTTTTTCTCTCCAAAGATCTGTTTTCTAATAACATTTTTTTCCTGAATGCGTTAGCCATAATGGTGCTTATGTAATCTTAAGAGAATAGATACAATTCTTAGGACCTCATCCAGGAAAGGGAGCACACAAAAAGCACAAGATTTTAATAATAAAGTAATGTTTCAGCACAGAGTCTGTGATGTGCAGTAAAGATGCTTTTAAATTCCCATCAGAGCACACACCATGAACTGTGATAATGGATGTAACACATTTCAAAAAATCTGCATGTGTGAGGCTTTTTTTTGTCCTGTTTTAAGTGGGGTAATGTATATAAATAATAGATATTAGCAATTAAACATCCATTCCTATGCATTCATTTATATATTTGAAAATAAATTAGCCACAAACTGCATAAAAGGAAATGCAATCTCCTGTTTTCTCCTCTGTTTTCCCTGCTGTTTGCGAAAAGGCATTATTGCATTTATCTCGGTGAGAACAATGACCTCAGCTCTCGTTCTCTACATTAGTAGATTAATTACCACAAAAGAAGAACTTCTAATAATTTTGCTAGCCTGCCTCATCTCTAAATTTTCCTGTTCTTGTCTGGTGACTGTCAGTTCACTCTCTGCTCAGGCAGATGAAGCTCTGTATGAGCCTGGTCCAAAGCTCACTCGTGCCACTGGGGTCACCCCAGCGAGGCCTATGAGCTTTGGATCTGCTCCCCTCTCAGCAAGTCCACGATTTCTTCAGCTATTGCTCTGCTTTCAGAGGTTCTCCATGCATCAGCGAGCAAGATTTAGCCTTGTGTGTGTGAAATAAGCAGTAACTTGTCAGAGTAGAGTGAGCAGAGTATGCAGTGACAATCACAAATCTGGCTTCCTTTGGTTCTCTTGGCTTCCATCCAGCCCTTAACATTATTAATTGAGCACAGCTTGTTTTTTTGTTAATTTCCTTCACTTTTAGCTTTCTAAGGAGTACAAAATCTGTTATTTGCATCACATGGTACTCACCTGTGTGCGATTGAGGGGCTTGATCCAATAGTCAGTAAACTTAGAAAATAGTGTCTGGACTAGGGGATGAGTCCCTTAAATGGAATAAATACTTCATGTCCTTAATTGAAATTAAATGCATTCTAATAGATGTACCAGAGACATTCCTTTTATTATGGGATCGGTGTTACAATAGAGACGGTAATGGTTCCTTGAAAGCATTGCAGTTTATTGTGATGATCTGTATTTAGAAGTTCTTAATTTGGGGATCATTAATATGAAATGCATGATAGAGCCCAACTCTACTTTATATAAGATACTAAGCCATTATTGCAAAAGGCATACGTAAGAAACAAAAAAATGATTTACAGAAGCACTTTTTCCCACACCCATGTGAATAACCAGGAATAGCTCCTCGGGTGCTGGTACTCAGCAAAATTTCACTAAAATCAGGGTTGGTACAGCATTTACATGACCAGGAGTCATGGCCCATGGTCTGTAATGGGCTCAACCAGTTCTCTTCCTTTTCTCTTGGTTAGGCTATTGTCTGTGAGAGTCTAATAAAAAATAATGCAAACATTCTGCTCCTTTACTTGTGCTCTTTTGCAATAAAAAGGCTCAGCTTCCTTTCTGAAAAGGTAACAATGATTAATATTCCCAGAGCAAATTGCTTTAGCAATATGTAGTGTTCATGTGGAAAAAAAATGCACTTGAGCTACTGGGGCTCTGCTGCAGTTCTGGTTTGTAGGTACCTTTCATAATGCTTTGTTTTCAAGTATGTTTTTTTCAAAATGCAGACCATACTGAGCTAACCCAAAGTCCTGTCCACATATATCCACCTTGCTCAGTCATCAGAAACTGTTTTCTACAGAATCATGGTGGAGCTTGAAGAGATCTCCTCATTTTGACCCACATGAGTTTTGCAGTGTAGGCTGTAGAGGAGAGATTTAGGAGAGATTTGGTGGTGGACCAGCAGAGTGGCAGGATTGGATGTAATGGTCTGTACAACTGCATATGTAAAAAGTCCTTATAGGACATGTCCAGCCCACAAAACACACCATCTGTTCATCAACCACAGCAGCTGCTGCAATAGCAAAAGCAACAGCCCCTGCTGTTGGGAAGAAGTAGGCCCATGTTTGACACTTTTAACTGATATTGACATTAGTAGCTCCGTGCAAACACTGCTTACAAAGGTACAAAAGCTCCATTGCACAACAGCTCCATAGGCTCTAAGCTCTTCTGTGAATTTAGTATCACTGACAATTTAAGATAATAATCTACAGATTCTCATGTATCATAAAATGTGTCTACAAGGCAACTTGGTACTGCTTTTGGCTATGGTCTTGAATCTCCTATTCAGCATGTAAGCATTTATTTCAGGTTAGGTACACATAGTTCTCTTGAATTGGATGTTATTTAGAAATGAGCTTAAATATAATGTGTGTTATCAAACATACCATCGCTGTCTCTCTGACGTACTGATGCATCATCTTCGATGTAGGTGAACTCTCTGCATTTCTCCAGGGAAGCAATGGATGATCTGCTTGCGTTTGACAATTTCTTCTCATTTTTGGTTTCCTTTGATGAAGCATCTGCGATGCTGAATTCTGCGACAGTACTCATAACAATACTTCTCACAGGCTTTTCATCTGCATGCTTTTCATTTATAAGCTGGTTATCTGGTGGGATTAAGAGAAAAAAAGACTTGTTTGTGATACTAAGGCAAAGATCTGAAGGAATAACATATGCAGAATTTCCAAGCCTACAGGTGTTTACTTCCGAGGCCTAACCCTATTTATCTGACGATTTCAGTCTCTTTGGAGAAGTTTATTCATAGAACAAGTATTTATATATTTGCACCCCTAATTTTCTCTTAAACCCAGGGGGTTTATAGGCTGGGTTGACTACTCAGTTCCAGTGGGTGGGTTCAGGTGAGGTAGGAGAACAGAACTATGGGCTCAGTTGAAATCCATTTGGAGTGTGATCTCCCAGTTGCAATTTGTGACATGCAAGAAAGCCAAAACAATTATTTTTCAACAGCAGCTTGTTTCCCTAAATTTACAGCCAGCGTTGTGTGTGTAGGTGGTACCTAGATGCAGATGTACCAGCTTGCCATGGTTCGTAGTCTTGTTGCAAAGCAAGCCAGATGGTCTCTCTTTAACATCCTGATTCGTTGTTTCGTAATTTCTTCCCCACTTGTGTTGTTGGCCTGGAAGTCAACTAGAAGATGGGATCCTCCACATGCTGTCAGTGTGCCAGAGAGGCAGCTCTAAAATGAGAGGGAGAGCTTACTTTTAAGCCTCAACTAGGGGAAAGGTTAAGAAGAGTTCTGAGCTCAATTTGCTCTTGAAGAACTTCTCAGGAACAGATAAACATGGGTAGATAAACAGTTTCATTTATTCTCCAAAGTGATCAAGAGGCCAAGAAACACAGTCATTCTTTCTACTGCTGGGATGATAAAACCTCGTCAGTTCTTATCTACAGCTGATTAACTCCTGCACCTCACATCAAGCACAGCCTCACTTTTTATCTTACTTAAATCTTGTGATACGCTTGCTCTTAAGCTATATACAGAAAATCAATCTTTACAAACACCTCAGTTTTGCAAACATTGCTTTTTGACGGGAGCAGTGAGTGCTCAAAAGCAGCTGGTCTGTGTTCTGCTGCAAGGAGCTAGAAGAGAGATCCTGCATCTCTCTTGTTTTTCAGATACCTTTGACACCTGCTGTATATTAAAGAAAAGCCAATAAAAGATTGATGGAGTGTGAAATTGCAGTTGTGTCCACTTGTAGCCAAAAGGAGGATATTTGGATGGGATGAGTGGATTGCAAAATAAGTGAAAATTCTGCCTAGTGGGGGAAAGCAGTTTGAGTATAACTGGTATCTGGAGAGAGTCTAGTGGAGGCAACCCAGGTGGTGATGGGTCTGGAGTACCTGATGTAAGAGAAGAAGCTGAGGGAACTGGACTTGTTTGACCTGGAGAAGAGAAGGCAGAGGTCAGTGCTAGATACTGTTTTCTTCTTCTGGAAAGCACTGGAACAGGCCCTGGTGAAGCTGGAAATTATGCTCAAGCAGGCAAGTCCCCAGCAACCTGCTCTTACTGCAGTTAGCCCTGGTTTGAGGAAGAGGCCAGATGAGATGACTTCCAGAGGTCCCTTCCGATCATAATTTTTCTATGGTTCCACTTACAGAATGAGCGAACGATTTGTTTAAACTATTATTCATAGTCAGATTTCATGCTATTTTAGATCATCTTCATGTGGTGAAATTTCTAGAAGTGAAAAAACTGGGTAAAGGTTAGCGGAGTAATACCATTGAAGAGGATGAGAGGAAATAGTAAGCTATTATTTTCATTTAAAGTCATTGTCATAAGAATGTTTGTTGGCAGGTGTTTGGCTGGGTTGTTAACTTCAAGGAATGACAAGGTCTGATGTGAAGGAAACAGTTTCCCCTGTCCTGCAGAGTTTATGGGGTGGCCTTAGGGAAGGGGTGACTGGTGGGATAGAAAGAAAGGGAAGTAAGACAGTGGTGGCACAGAAAGGAGTCTTGGAAACCTACAGCTGTCAGGTTTTGTGAGTGTTACAAGGATGGAACGCCCCAGGTGAGGCTTGGGAAGGGCAGGAGAGGCAGTGGCTCCTCTGGGTGGGAGGCAGCAGTGCAAAGGCTGTAGGTTGCACATTTGCGTGTAAAAAAACAGTGTCCTGGACAAAGCACATCTGTGATTTTGCTTGGCTATAAAAATTTGGCAATGGCTTTTCCCTCAGAGTAAGTAAATATAGCTTTTTTTTCCCTCTCTGACTTCTTGTCTAGACTCTTAAACCAAAAATGTGAAAATTCATGAGTTTTGGATGTATTTACTTACAGGTACAGTAACCACTATTTTCCAGCATTTATAAATCAATGACATATCACAATTTTCCCTGCGCTTTCATTCAATAACACGCCATCTCCAGGAAAGGCTGTGCTAATTGAAGTAGCAGGGATCTGGAGGAAGCAGTGTCCTGCTCGTGCATCGGTTTTATTGGATAATAATTGATTTGTGGGTCCAAAAGGCACGTGCCCTACCTGGTATTCAGGTGCCAATCTTACAAATGGATCTTGCTTGTCCAGGCTGAGAGCCGTACATGGGCTGAGCAGACGAATACACACGGGTCGGATTGAAAGGTCTGTGCAAGAATGGCATTTTCTATCATTTCCCCCTTTCAAAATTGGCCCTAAAGTCTAATCTGGATATATTTTAAATTGCAATATATCTGTTCGGTTTCCCATTTTTGCCACAATACAATGGTCCACAGAAAGCATTTAAGCATTCAACAAATGAGACTGAAAAAAATCAGACGGAAGTAATCAGTAAATGCCAGACTAACATTTACTGTATCCACCGACTTCTACTATTCATGCTTCGAGTCAATTTTTATTCTTGAAGTGCTGTTGAAGAGAAATCAAAACCAGAAATAGAAAGGCATAGACGTAACCTGAATTTTTCAATACAGCACCATCAAACAAAAGGGTAACAAAAGCTGTCATTCAAGGACTCTTCTGTTTGTTAAAGCATACTACATCTTTGAAAATACAGTGCATTTTAGTGTCAGACTCTTAGTTTGAAAAGCTCCCTTTAAGTAATGTTATACTTGTCTTGTACAGCTAGATCAAGTCTTCACGCAATCACCGTAACAAGCAACTTGCTATGACAAGCGAGATCCTTGCTTCCAGAAAACAGTGCGAGAGAGGCTAAAGCAGTGTACAATTATAGGTCTCCATTTCATTTTTATGCAATTACCTTCAGTTCAGCTGTTGGTCCATCTACATTATGTCTTTTATCAATTTAATGTTTGCACAAAGTGTCTAAAGAAATAAAGATTATGCTAGACCAGCATAAAAAAAAAAGTGGTTAGCATTTTTTTTTTTCTATTTTATAGTTTGTTGCTGCATGGAACAGTAATAGGTTGTGGGATTGGAACAAATAAGTGGAGCCAAATAGGCTTTAAAAATATATTATGTACAACTGATTATTTATGATTACTTTTAAATGAGAATGGAGGAGAATTAAATTACAATTAGAGATGGGCAGGAGGTCAGACTTTGTTACTGTCTTCTAAGAGCCTGTGTCCACAGTTTCAAGTGCCCACAAAGACGTGCTTTTAACTTGCAGAAATCATCCACTGAACTTAATTAGAAAGGGAAAAATAGGTAATTTTGATGAAAAAAGCTGAGACTATTCAGCATTAGTAAGACTGTTAGAGGTAGGCAGAGGTAAACACCCTTAGTGTACCATTTATAAAGCGTGTCCTGGAGTAGCAACTTTCTTCCTTAGCTGGGGAAGTTGGAGCTTGCCTTGACTGTTGTTGCAGAGGACTGGGATTGCTTTCCTATGTTTCCCATGTAAAGACAGAGATGGAAATTTCATGTGAGTATAGAGACTTTATTTTTATTTTTTTTAAGCCAGGTGAATTCAAGACAACAGTGTCTTGAATTGGATTGCAGCCAGGTAATGCTGCAGGGGGGCAGTTGCCTCTGAGAGAGAAGGAAAGAGAAGGAACTGATCTATCGCCCTATGTAGGACTCGTACACATCTTGCTGCAAAGGACGTGTGTGTCTGTGGCTCTACTCGCCACTGACATTTGTTCCCAGGCTGCTCTGCCTATGGCCCCTTGCCTTGCGCTCCTGTGGCAAAGAGTCTCGAGGTTTAATGGTGAATTCTGTGGGAAACTCTGGCAGTTTAGGACGTGTAACTTCTTAATTTCACCTTAAGGCATCTTCATGTATCAGTGCAGAGAAAGCACTGAAGGAATGCGGGGCTGATCTCCCTGCCATTCCTTATCCCACGTACTGCTGTCATTGCCTGTCTATTTAATATCTCGCGTGCTCATCACTCGAAGAGCTGAGTGCCATGTCCGTTCAGTCCTGAGATGGAACCGGGAGAGCTACATCAGACCTGATGGGTGATAACTTGTAAGCTTAAAGGCTTGAACTGAACTCACTTGGTTTGAAAAGACTCATAGCAAAATAAAACCCAAGCCCCAGGTTTGGATGGGTGTTTTTAAAAGAAAAAAAAAAAAGGAAAAAGAAAAAGAAAGAAACTTTTGGTAACCAGTCTAAAGGACACAATTTGTTCTTTAAGTAATAATAAATCATAATTTACAGCAGTGGGAATGCATGCATGGTGCAATATGTGTGCAGGGACAGCAGCTTACCTGGGCAGTTCTCGGTGCTCAGCGTCACCCTGGGGAGCACTGGGAGAGTCAGGGAGCTGGTGCAGCTGTCTTGGTGGAAAAACAACACAAGAGTACAGAGGCACACTGTAAATAAACATGGTTCAGCACACAAATCACCGCCAGCCATTGAAAGTAAGTAATTTACTTTGAGTTGTTGCTTTGGGGAGAAATAGAGGCAAGCATGCTTCCTTGGGAGGGGAGGTTACAGTGGAACGTACACTTTTTTGATATCTATGCCTTGCTTTGATAAAATAACCCAAAAGAAAAATTGATAAGAGAGAGAGTTTTAGCTGAGGAGATGGGACAGAGGATCACTGTCAGGAGCAGAAGTTCCCATTTGGAGTAGGTACAGAAAGTTTTGGGGCTGGACATTTTGCAATGAACTGTGATCCATGCCCAAGCACCCTAGAAACCTTAAATAAAGTTCCCAAATGGTCAGCAAAGGAAGAGAGAGGAAAATGCACCTCCAAGCCCCAGCCTCCACGGCTTAGCCCTCTTGGACAAGATGCCCAAGGTCCTCCTGTGGGTGCTGAGCTACATTTGCCACCTGCACAGGACTTGGAGAATTAAATCCCACTTCCTTCTCCCTCCTGGGATCAGATAGGCATGGTGGGACGGGGTGGTTTATTTTTACTATAGGGAAACAGGAAATGGTACACAAGGCTATAAATATATACTGGGCTTCATGTAGCATCACGAACTTGTGCAAGTGCTTCTCTTCTGATTTACGATGATGGACTGGTAATTCACAGAAGCTTTGGGTTTACCTTTTAATTTTTTTTTCTTTT